TCATGCATGTACATATTTAAGTTGTACTGTAGTGTAAGTCCACTTCTTGATGTACTGGTACCGGTACATTCAGAATGTACACAAATCCAGCGGACATACAATGTACATGTATGTACGGGCACATACCTGTATACACATTAACACTTTCTGTTGTTACTGGTATACATTGTAAATGTACAGTGTACTTGTACATGTAGTTATGTGTAAATACCCAGGTGCAGAATACGGGTACCTTACATGATGTACATGTATTCTGTGTGAGGATATATTGGTATGCAAAATGTACCTTCTATAAACACACCCATGTGTGTTTGCATACATTGCATTGTAGACTGCATGTATGTAGGTGCATATTGTACAGTGTGGTCATGTTTATGCAAGGCTAGATGGTTGTCCAATCAGTGCAGTCCCCTACATGTCTGTGTTCAGTTTGCCGTGGATTGATAAAGATATCTTTGTGACCTCTCTTTTTTTTCCATTTCATTGGAAGAGTCATAGATACCAGTACATCAGGCAAAAATTAAATATGTGCAGGTGTTCATATCATTCAAACTGTAGAGATGTACTGTAGACTTTCCTGTGCCAAATTGTTCCATTGAGTACCAGGACTACTGGCGTTCACGTTCTTGTACTTGTACAATTTACATATGGGTCATTCTATAAATTAGGGGTCCAATTTTTTCATGTCCCTGTCACACCTGACATATGATTTTGTAAGTTCAAAACGTACTTTCTAATTGCCGAGAATGATGAATTAATGCAGATTACCAGCCAAACAAATAGAAATACATGTAGCTTGAAATCAATTGCAGTGATATTTCCGTGTCAAATTACTCAGGTCAGGTGTAACAGGGACACAAAATAGTCACACTTTTTGACCCCGAATTATAAAATGACCCATATAAATGCTTACAACTTGTCCAAGGGCAGGCAGAAGCCTGAATTTTTACTTGGCCTTTTGTCATTTACTACTGTTACATGTACATTTAATTTAGTAGAACTGTGAATAGAATAAAAATAGGGAAAACATGCTTTGACACATTTACGACATAAGGCTTACATTATACATTGCTTGGTATGTTCATGTACTGTGTACCAAGCCTGTAGCTGTCAGTTTTTATTCCCAGAACACAGATGACATCCTGTCAATACACACATACCCTATCTCAAGTGGTCCAGCGGTGAATTTATAGCCTAGGAGTATCTCTTAGCATCCAGAGGATCCAGACTTTATGCTGAGTTTATTTGACATGCCAAATATAATTAGAGCGCCTGTGAATAAATCACAAATGGCCCATATGGCGGTGTCATTCATTTTAAAAGTCCTTGATGGCTTCCTGCTTCATGTCTCCATGAAGATTAGGAAATCTCATCCCCTACTACTTCACAATCCTTTTGCACGACATTAAAAACTTTTTTTATGCTGCTTTCTAAAACTCCGGTAAAGGCCTTTTCACACTGCAGAGCCAATCCTGGGAAATAAATCCCTGGAAAAATATTTTCTACCCCACCAAAACCACAGCAAACTTCACACTAGACCCATTTGGGAACTCCCAGGGACACTATTTAAGGGGAACACCAGTTGCTTTTCCCCAGGAAAACGTTAAATCCTGGGTTTTTTTCATTTAACCCTATATGTACTCCTGAGCAGGGGTAAATATTCCCCCCCCCAAAGGTTTTCCCTGGGGATTTCTTTGGTAGTGTGAACAGACTGACCAAAATTCCTCAGCAATTTTGCGGGGAAACAGCCAGGGAATTTGTCTAGTGTGAAAGCCCCTTATACATGTAGCTCTTTGTACATGTACATGTTATTAGTCCTACTGGCATATGAGTACTTGAAACTGGTCTCCAACATCATGCATGGATTCTTGAAAAGTTGGAGGTATTAAGCAGGTTATTTAGGACAGATCATTTCAGAAAAGAGCAAAATTTAAATTATTGGCTAATTAATCTATGTACTGGTACAAATACATGAGATGATATAAGCTAAAAATATGTTTGTTCAGCTGCTCATGGTGGCCCCTGTGGCAAATATACCGTACCTGTACCTATTTAACAGACAGAAAAACTAAATGCACAGTTTTTGTGACAGATACTTAGGTGTTATGTAGATTGTTTCTCCCCAAATGAATTTGTCAGGATTGGAGAAAGTTTTGTAAATATTTACATGTACATCATTTTCATGATTTGGCAATATTGGTGACTCACATCCAGAACCCTGACTCAGATATAACGTGTATAATTGAAAACAAGGTTTAAAAGTTGAAAAAGTGAAAAGTTGACAATCCCAGTGGAATGCCCAAAATTGCTTTCCTCAATTATCTGCTCCAGGAAACCTTGTTTGTGCCATTGTTACAAAATGTCTGTGAGGGATAAAGTTCATTGTTATGTTGGGAAACACACATGATTGGCCATGGATGGCTAACACGTAATTTCCGTTTCTAGTACATGTACTTGTAAACAGTAATTTTTTTATAATTGTCCGGGGGGGGAGGATATTACAAAATAATGACAAAACTACCGGTACGTGTATGCCTACATGTGCATGTAACTACAAGTACATGTACATACGTAGCTATAAGTTTCCTGTTGTACTTTTGTCTCTTTGTACTTTTTTAACACCCTTCCTTCTTGTTCATATTTTGCACTTTTCATTCACTGAAACTCACAGGTGTTTCTCATACTGATACATTTACACCCTCTGTAATATTGATTACTGACATTAGAATCGTTTGCCAGTGATCCGTTGGGTGATTGGGTATGATTCTTCTCTCACTGTGGTGTCATGTTACAAACCTTAGAGCATTACTGAAAAAATCATCTGCTTCAGTTAATCAGCTTTGGGCTTCTTGTGCCTGTCATAAATCAGTAATAAAATAATAACAACAGTGAATAAAATAATGACAAAGGCAATTTTGGTGTTATTACGATTAAAGGTTTTTTATTACAAATGCATGCGTGTACAATGTACACGTATGTGATGGACTTTCGGTACTGTAGTCCGAGCAAGTTACAATGTACACATGTACATGTACGCACATTTCCATTTGTATAATGAGCATTACATTTTGTGTTGTTAGAGTTAACTACATACATGTACATGTACCGTTACACATGTTTATGTAAACTGTGTAGTGTTTGAATATGGATAATGGAGGACATCACAACACATACATGTACATTGTAGAACATTAATTGTATTCACATGTGAAAGGAAACTGCAATATGTGTGCTTATTTTGCACTTTCAAATCCTGTTCAATAATGTGCCCATTTACCATGTTTATTGCATAGAATATTAGCGTTGCACTTCCCCTACTGTACAGGTACATGTACATGTAATGGCAGTTTGATGCAGTCCACCTGTTGCTCACTTAGAGTTAGACAAAGTTTCTGTTCTGGTTTCATTCTTGTCAATAACAAGGGTTGGCTATATTTTTAGAACACAATGAGTATTCTGTCGTACCGTGAGTTTTTAAGTTTCATATCACAACAGTTAGAGTTTACTGCAATATTCTGTTTTGCTTTTGTGTTTTCTTTTCATTTTGTGTTGTAGGTTTCATGTGCGTGATTTTTTTTTTTTCAGGAAAAATATAGTTGAATCATGGTTGAATACACCTGTTTTTCATATTACAAGTCCATGTGCCGGTAGGGTCTAGTATGAACACTATGGTAGATTTTGAAATAATGTCATTATAAAACAGGATAGCCGTAACAGTCCCAAATCCTCTGATTTCAATATGATTTTACTTACACCCTAGGGGGTTAGGGTTCTACCCCATGCACATTTATAACTCAGTCACTCAAGTTGTTTTTTACACTTTCTTACTGTTCCATTCCTCCAGAAACATGACCATTGGCAGTCAGTATGGGCATCATTTTATTGACCAAAAAACACCATCAGTGTGATTTCCACAGTTTGTGGTGCGTTTGTAATTGTATAATAGAGCAAGTGGACTTTTAGTATGGACATAAATTTGCATACAAACATGTACATGTACTCGTACATGGGTAATTCAAACTATTACTACATGTATTTGTTTGGCAGGTAATTTGCATTAATTCACACTCTTGGAAATTAGAAAAGGTATTTTGAATTTACAAAATTATGTGTCAAATGTGACAGGGACACACACACAAAAAATGGACCCCTAATTTCTGGAGTTACCCATATTTATGTACCAACTCCAAGATAGAGCTGAGTCAATTTGACTAATTCAGTAAATTCAAATATTTGACTTTCAATTCAATCGGATGTCCAAATATTCGGTTGTACCAACCGGGGGATATTTGATGAACAAACCGCATACAAAGTCAGTTGCAATAATGCACACAATTGTAAGTAATAATCACTGTAACAGCTTCTCACCTCTTAGTAGGAATATTTCCAGCCACGATTTTTCCAGCAACGATTTTATTAAGATTTAGAGATGAACAATACTTGTCCTGTTGAAAATTTCTATTCCTTTAAAATGTTTCAACGAATAATTTACTTTTAGAATCGTACGATTTCTGTCGCCTTTCATCTGAATCTGTTTGAAACAAGCCTCCAAGTGCAATTTTTCTCATATAAAACAAAAGAAAATTTCTCTCATCCTTTTCATGAATTTTGCATTTGAATATTCAAATTCAGAAAATAATCTTCAAATATTCAATAATAGATCAAATATTCAGATAGATATTCGGCACAGCCCTACTCCAAGACAGTCTACGTACACATGTACAAGTATCGAGCATGTACATGTACTACATGTATAACAATTTAATGGGATGTCTGAATACACCTGCTGATACAGGTAAATGTACGGTACCCTTGCAAATGTACTGGTAAATGTGCACATGTATGCACATGTACGCACATGTAATTTAACTGTTCATGACTGTTACCTTTATGTTTACAGGATCAATTTACATGTACATGTACATAAAGTTCAGTGCTTGACTTCATCCAGTCGGCATTGTTATGATGGTGACACTGAGATGTCATTCTTTTGTTTGTAGGATGGAATCTCTGCTCTTGTGACTGACGTGAACATTCCAGCCATCAAGAGAAACAAAAATGTGGAGACCTTCCTGGAGAGATGTAAGTTGTTCATTACATGTACCTTGGATCATTGTCTGTCCATTGATTTTTGTTTTTAATCTGCTTTGTTCCAGTTTTATGTTAACACGTAACCGATGCTTCCAGATCCTTCAAACTTCACCAGGAGATGTTGGCATATTTTGAAGGATTCCTTGCAGTTTTTTTCTTAAAACCTAAAGTCATTTGTACCGTACTTACATGTACCAACTAGTTACTGGTACATACAACCCTAAATATGACAGATATTCACTTGCCAATCCAGCAATTTAGCCATTCTCATCTCTCTTTTTTACGTTTTCCTATTTTGGCAGATGACAAACTTGTGTTTGAAGTTGGTAAACATCGACTCTCTGCTAATGATTTTCAGGTCATCAAAGTCATCGGCAGAGGGGCTTTTGGAGAAGTCCAAGTGGTAAGAAATCTCATCAAAAATAGTTTAGATTAGATTAGATTAGAAATTTATCGTCTTCATCATAAACATACAGAAATCTTGTTTCCATTGGCATTATTAAGAATAATAAAAAGTACATTACGTAAAACAAAAGTTCATCCACGAAAATTATTCGCTCAGGTAAAATTACTTACACTGTAGTCCAGTTTTTTTGTCATATTTTGTCTTTGTAAGATACCTTTATGGCTGCATGAAACCCTAAATGCTGTACTGTTTACAGAGGTACGAGTGTATGTACTCGGTACCGATATTTGCTTCAAGAACAATACACTGTCTACAATTTATTGCAAGTGTACAGTGTTCACAAAAGGATTTCTAGCTCTGAAATCCCCCCCTCCCAAGTAATTGAGTTCCCAAAGTCTCTCATGAAATCATCACATACCGGTATATCTAATCCACAGAAAGATACTGCAGTACCGGCAGTGTTGATCTCATACAAATCAAAGTGATAGCCGGGAAAAAATGAATTACAGAATAGAGATTTGATTAGCAAGATTTTGTCTGTAAATTTGTGAAATGAGTACGGTTGTATTGTAGATGTATAATGGACCCAGTACTTTGTTTTCTCCTTCTGATGGACCGTCATGTATTTCCTTTGTCCTCCATAATTTGCAATTTGTCTCAAATGGCTGTCAGTCCAGATGTCTGTAATTTTACTTTTCTCCTTCATATTTACATTTTTTTATTCCCCCCATTGATCCTTCTCAGAAATGAAAATACAGGGCTGACTTGTTTTGAACATTGACTGTTTGCACGCAGCCAATTTTTAAAAATATCTTAGAGTGCACTTAAAAAACAGTTTGGGAGGCGAAAATTGACAGAAAGAGTGCTGTGAGTGATCCCTTATGAGCGTTCGCATCCATTAGCAAATTGAATGAACTTGCTTCACACATTAGTGGCCCAGAAGCCATACTTTTAATGGCCAAGTGAGAATACGGTGATGTAAACAGTTACCGCTACGTGAGTGCATGTGTCTAGGAAAGTCGTGTTTGGTCAGATAAAGGAAAAAATTGTAGAAGTAAATTTGACTTGTTTTTGTTGCAAAACTGCCTACTAATACCGGGTATTTCCACAATTTACTTCCTCAACACCTGGATAAAAGCAGCTTGTGGCATAAAGGGTTAGACAGTTTTACCTCCATAATTTTTAAGGCTCTTTTTTGAACATTATGCTCAAAGTTACATCATATTGTAGTCCTCTTACTGATACATGTAAATGCACCGCTTACATGGAGCGTTGCTTATTGTTCTCAAATTTCTTTTCTTTTTCTGCAAATTTTCAATGGTAGGTCCGGGAAAGAGAAACACGCAAGGTCTATGCAATGAAACTCCTTAGTAAAATGGAAATGGTAAGTTGAGGGGTTAAGATGTCACCAGGGCCCAATTTCATGGCGCTGCTTACTGCAGAATTCTGCACTTACGATCTCCATTCTGTGCTAACTGCGCAAGCAGAAAAATTCTGCGCTAACCCTTTAAGCACAGAATCTTTAGTTACTCGCTAACCTGTGAAATACTTTTGCTGCAAGCACAGAATTTTCTGCTACGATAAGCGCTGATTTTTTGCTTGCGGTAAGCAGTGCTGTGCAATTGGACCCAGCCCGTAAAGGAAGAATATCCACATGTGTCAGCAAAATAAACCCAACAACACCATTACTTTAGCCTTGCTGCACACGATTTGTGCAAGATGTGCCGGTACATGTACATTTTTATCCTTACTATTCGCTCCGAGCAGGAACAAAATAGGGCTTGTTTTGAAATGAAATAGACAGTCCTTTGGTACTCACGCACCGCATACATGTACATGTGCAAGTTTATGCGCGTTTGACGTGGAGCACACTGAGTACGTGCAACGATTTTAGTCTAGAATGTGTGGTCTTCGCATGCACCCCGAATGTGTGCTATAGAGCCCGGTTGGAAAATGTAGTACCATCTGTCTTTCTTTTGCCAGTGAGGGTGCACTTCAGCTCTGGGCGGATAACACACAAGGTCTTTTGTGTTAGGAGAATGCTTTGTTTGGGAATGTTTTGTTGATAAAAGCATGGGTGTGCTCAAGTCTGAAAAATTGTTCATAGTACCAAACCACTGTGCTCAATTTATTCCAAGAATTCTAATGTTTTATTTTGACTTTCCGGCATTTGTCCTTGTGGGTCGCTGTACTCAACCGATAACTAATTGCATTTTTATCAACATACCTTTGGTCTTTATGAAAGTCAGACATTCTTATCCCTTATTAATTTTGCCATGACTAAGCTGCTGACCTAGATTAATTTAAAATGCCTCATGCCTGGTGTATTTTGGTCAATTTTTGTTTCAGATAAGGCGATCGGACTCTGCATTTTTCTGGGAGGAAAGAGACATCATGGCATATGCCAACAGTGAATGGATAGTTCAGGTATTAAATGTGACAGAAATTTTCTAACTTGCAACTGCTGGACAGCATGGCAGAGCCCACATCTACAGACATACGTGAAAAGACAGTGTTTAGAAATAAAAATCTTGATAACAACAAACTTCCACATTTTGAAACAAGGAAGATATCCCATGAAGATAAACTGCAAAATAAGAATTGAAAATACCTGTGCTCTTGATTATGTTTCACTTTAAGCAGTATCTTTGCTCAAGAGAAAAGGTGAAGAAGAAATGATATTTACACCTGTGCAGACCTTCTTACATGACCGACATGACCATGCAATCTATCACATTGCATTATTTTTAAGGACTCAGTTTTGTTCTCACAGTTCACCTCAGATGATAGTGTGTTCTGAATTGTCCACATCTTATCATCTCAAAGTAGATTTTATTTCATGTTGCCAAAGGTTAACTCATGCATTAGGAACAGGTGCTAAGCTATTGGAGACAGCTAGAGAATTAGAAATTGCTTGGGGTAGCAGTATTACGTTACTGAGTGGGTAAAGTTACAGGTGCAGCTGTGTTGTAACATGCTGGGTTACTGTGTGTGTTATGGCACCTCAGTCACAGGTACCCTGTAGGATATGACAGTTGGTAACCTTGTCTCCAGTAAGATGTGATAAAGGATGAGACGTTAAAAATTCAAGGAGGTCAGATTAATGACTCCCAGGGTTTGATCATAGAGTGTTGTTTTATACATGACAGTGGTGTTGTTAATAATATGGAGGTACCGTACATGTACATGTGTGTGGACCGTGCCAAGAAAAGAAATCTCCTTCTATAAACCAAGATGTCTGTATGTTGTTGCAATTTGTCTCAGGTGCTTTGTGTTTGGGGGGTGCATGTATTCCAGAAAGCAGAGTACTTGATACAGTAATATGATGACCCTTGTACATGCACCTGTACATGCACTTTCTTTATATCCATTAAAATATCTGTATACACCTTTCTGTCCCACATTTCATACAGTACATGCAGGTACTGATAGCAATGGTCAACTTAACCCTAATAACTTAAAGAACAGGAAGCATTGAGACAATGTGAGATAGAGAGGAGCTAATTATTGGCATGATTTCGTTTTGTCTTTACGACATAGCTTCACTATGCTTTCCAAGATGCCAAGTATCTCTATATGGTCATGGATTTCATGCCAGGCGGTGATCTGGTAAACTTGATGAGTAATTATGAGATCCCAGAGAAATGGGCCATGTTCTACACAGCGGAAGTCGTACTTGCGTTGGATGCTATCCACTCCATGGGATTCATTCACAGGTAAATAAATGCAAACATGCTTCATGTAGCTGCTACAAATTAATATTTTTGATGTTTTGAATCTGGGAACGTTGTACATGAGGACATCATGAATTCATGTATAAGTAAGATAAGTCTTGCATCATACGCAGGTCTCAGACCTTTTATTTAATTACATACAGTTACATGTACATTCGATCACATCTACAATAAGAAAGAGATTAAGGTCTACTGCATGGCTCACATGCATTTCACGAAGGTTGAACTTTCGGTCTTACAAAAACTTTCACTTGAGAAGACTGTTTCACTTGATAGATTATTCTGAGAACAGCACTATTCACATCTGATACAATCGACTGTTATAACAAACTTTCAAGGACCAGACCGCTTACTTTGTTATAAGACGAGTGAAAAAACAAAACATTAGCATTCAAGAAATTAGGATTCTCAAAATCTGTTTTATATCACAGTAGTTTGTTATAAAAGTGTTCTTTTTAACGAGAGTTGACTGTACATTGTACATACGCAACTATGTACATGTAGTATTTCCTACTAATAAAAATCTTAATTTGGGATTTTGTTTTTCTCGATTTTTTTTTGTTTTGCAGAGATGTCAAACCTGACAACATGTTATTGGATGCAAGTGGACATCTGAAGCTGGCAGACTTTGGTACTTGCATGAAGATGGACCAGGTAAGGGCCCATTCATACTTCATGCAAAAGCGAAAATGAACGTGCATGGTGACGACAGATAAAATATTCACAATTTGAATTCGTAAAAGTTTAACACATTTCAACTTGAGTGAAAACATTGGTGCAAATGTTTTGTGACACCCAATTCGTATACACTTGTAATATGGACCGGCCTTCAAGATCGATGAACCAGAGAGTATAGATTTCAACAATAATTTTTCTGTTTTTTTCCCCAAGTGCCTTATTTTAAAACTGGGCATTCTAAGCAAGAACATCCTCTTGATCTTTTGAGTTTAAAAATTAATCTGGAGCCTCTTTCATTTTGATCTTAATTTCCATAGGATGGCATGGTGAGGTCTGATACAGCGGTTGGGACACCAGACTACATATCTCCTGAGGTTCTCAAGTCACAGGCAGGAGATGGTTACTATGGCCGAGAGTGTGACTGGTGGTCCGTTGGCGTCTTTTTATATGAAATGCTTGTAGGTGAGTACCGGACCAGTTTTAATCTGAGCATTGTCCAAGTGTGTGATAGAAATGTGGTTTTGAATTCGTACTTACTTTATTGTGGTGCTTTACATTTCCCAGCTTGCGCTGTATTTACAAATTGGATTTTCTGTTAATACACAAAACTACATCAAATTAATGTCTCTAGTTACTGTATCGAATTCCATGATGATTACCCTTGCGTTTCCTTTCCAGGTGACACGCCTTTTTATGCTGATTCCCTCGTTGGTACATACGGCAAAATCATGGATCACAAGAACTCTCTAATTTTCCCTGATGATGTCTCCTCAAGTGCCAAAGACCTTATTTCAGGTTTCCTAACTGACAGGTGAGTAGAAGGAACTTCTTAACAGTGATGGCTGTTGCTTGAAAGTTACAGCTATGGCTAAAAAGAACACAGTGCCTGTGGAAGCCACTGGCTAGCGGTTGCAACCACTCCTCATAGACAAGTGTGTTACTCCTAGCTACAGCCACTGGATGTGGACACAGCTTAAAGATGTTGGAAAGTATTGGCTATGGCTAAACTTAAACAGATGAATATGGAAAACATGTACATGTATGTGGGTAATTCCAGAAATTAGGGGTCCAAAAGTGTGACACTTTTGAGTCCCTGTTACATCTGACCATTGTTATTTGACATGGAAATAACACCAGAATTGATTTCAAACTGTTAAAATTTGTTTGGCAGGTCATTTGCATTAATTCATCACTCTTGGAAATTAGAAAATGTGTTCTGTACTTACAAAATTATATGTCAAACGTGACAGGGACATACACAAAAATGGACCCCTAGTTTCTGGAATTCCCCAGGTAACTCCTAGCTGTAGCCTGTTGCTTCAGATAAAGCCCTAGTCCAATTCTAAAATGAACCTTAAGTGTTCTTCCTACAGTTAATATTGTAAGTGTGCAGTGAGAATTCTGCGCTTGTGAGTTAAGTTTTGGTTAATGTTTTTAAAATGTGTTTGAATTTTACTTTTTTGAATGTAGAGAGAACCGACTGGGAAGAAATGGAATTGCAGAGATTAAGAAACATCGTTTCTTTATCAGCAACAACGAGATGTGGACATTTGATAATATCAGGCAGAGTAAGTTTCTGTATTTATTCCAGAGTTTCTTGCAGTTGACCATCTTACACTCTAGAACAGATTGTGCGCAGAGCTGTGGCAGTAACTCTCCTGAAATAATAGCCACATTATCCCGGGCAAAATGTTATCATTCCTCACATACCGGGGTAGCAAGACTGTGCTGTGTCCTTCATAGAGCGAAACTTTTCCAAGATAGAACATTCCTCAATTCTTTACACAGCTAGTGCGACCACAATAAGGTACAAGAATACACAAGGCAAAAGCAGCTAGCGAAGTACCAAGAGAAGTTAGTTTAAGTGACCGATATCAAATCATTGTTTTCATTGTCATCACACCCACACTTACTTTACATACCTACTGTGGACATTCCTTTCTTTTCGTGCAGTTAAGAAAACTCGGTGAAAATACTCAATGTTCCTGAACTGGGAACACGATTATCAGCTGGCTTTTTGTACAAGGTTCCCTGACTTTTCCTCTATCTTTTATAACAGATGACCCCTACGCCAAAATGCCTCTAAAATTCTTATTCAGAGAAGGGGAAATGTCCTGTGGACATGTGTAAGTCCTCAGAACGTCTTCCTTTCCTGCATCGTGTAGACATCTTTTCTTCACAAGTCCACACTAGGTATGTAAGGTTAGCGCCTCAAGTTATCCCTTTCATCTTTGTTGATATTTCGTTTTTTCCTAGCGGTACCTCCCGTAGTCCCAGAGTTGGCAAGTGATGTTGACACCAGTAACTTTGACGACATTGAGCCTGAAGAACCTAAACCTGAGGAGGATTTCACGGCTCCGAAGGCCTTCGCTGGCAACAACCTGCCATTCATTGGTTTCACCTACAACAGAACTCACAAGTAATGGATTTAGCAAAATATTTGTTTTGAATCCAAGCTGAGTGCACAGCACTGTAATTACCTCGTCCAAGAGGTGATCTTGGTGTGATAATCTGTGTATCAGGATATGTACATGTATTAACTGAAATGTTGCTTGATTGACGATGAACATTAGTTGGCTAATTGTTCAAGCATTGATCACCTGATCAATTAGATTATACTGTATAAAATTTATCCATTTTCAGTGATTAATTTTAACAAGTGGTAGCGTAAAAGTAACTGTGAAATGCAAGTGACTTTTTCCGTGAATGCTTTTTGATGCTTCTTCCAAATGTTCAGCATACGAGTACTGTTTCAGCCTAAAACTTCAGCAGGTTTTCAGTTTTGAAAACAACTGTAGCCAAGTGTTACTGTAGTTTTATGTTTTCAGAATGGACTGGTGACAAATTGTTCATTTCTAAAAGTGAATTATGCATTGTTGTTTTTGTCTTCAGGCTCTTTAGTATTCCAAAAGGGAACGAGGAGGTAAGTATTCCTTCTCTGAAGATAAGGTTGTGGTGATTTTCCTTGTAATTGAACCCTGAGTTTAAAAAGTCTGTATTCACGTTACTGAAATGTGCATGTTGGAGATTCAGAGCACTCCCTCTCTCACCTTAACCCTAAGTCCTTTAACCAGTTAATGTCGGATTTTCTTACCTGAAAAAACTGATGTGTGGGCTTTTTTTACCCGCAAATTCTTCAACCTTGCAACTTTGCTTTGATCCAACAAAGCATGACGTGCTAGTACGTCAACAGCAGAAATGAAAAAGAATTCTTTAAGATGCGTACATGTCCTCCGTGGAACAAATAAGGAAAAAAAAAGTGTGTTTACTCATCCAGCGTCAGGTAGTTAACGTCTGCTTGACCCCAGCAATGAGAGTAAAGCAGGAATGCTGGCAGTCAAGTTTTCTGATTCAAACAGTGCAATCACTACCTTTGTTTTAATCATTCTCATTGATTAAAGGCAACCATGTCTGATGAGGTGATAAGTTTGCTTATTCACTAGATATAGCACTTGGTGCCATTTATACACCGTCGGCATGTGTTTATCTCGTACCCACAAAACAACTTAGTCATTTCTCAGAAACCTGCTTGTTTTTTAGACCAGTAGGCAAGGCATTAATGGTTGTAGTCACATTGGTCAGAGTTAATTAGTCTTTACTCATCCACTCTGTTGAGTCATTGGATGAATTGAAGATGCCATTCTGCCCCCCTCCCCCGAAAGAAAAACTGTGTGCGATAAACTCTGCCCAAGTGCAGGTTTTGAATTATTAAATTCATTCATCAAACTAGAATGCAGTTTGAGTGAAAGCTTCACATATAGTTGTAAGAATCTGTGGCTGCGATTTTTTAGAAATTGCTGCAGCTGCCAGTAGTTAGTTGCTGCCTGTTGAACACAGTCCAGTATCCGCCCTGAGCTGAAGTGCACCCCCAATCCGTGAAAGAGAGATGTGGTTACAAGTGAGTTCTCGCTTGCGTTCTGCGTGTACATGTACACAAAGACCATACATGCCAGAATAAATTAGTTACGCGTACTCGGCGTGCTCTGTGTCAAACGCGCATATACTTGCGCGCCTCCTGGCATCCCTATGTGGTGATTACCCAAAAACACGCCCTCTTTTATTCTGCTCGGAGCGGATACACGTACCAGTAGTTAACCTTCATTCACTGCAAAAGTAGAACCATTTCAAATCTTGCATGGATAGCTTGGTAGATAAGACACTAGATGTGATAAATTGATCTTGATAAGTTGACCATGCTATAAATTGATCTCGATAAGTTGACCAAGCGGTAAATTGATCTCGATAAGTTGCCCATGTGATAAATTGATCTCTAGCGTGAAGAAATGGTAGGAAAGAGCTCTCAAATTGTGTGGGAGAAAAAGTTCCAAACATCTTTAGGAGAATGCTTTGAAAAAAATGAGAAATCAGTTGCCCCACCAGTACTTGCACAGCCAACATGTTTCAAAAACAGAGATGAATTCTCCACATGATGTTGTTTCAACATGTCGTCTTGTAAAATGAGTGCTTTAGTGTCTTCTGTGTCTTTCATTCAAGTCAGGATTAATCTTGTCAGAACTGGTAAAAGTGGAGGAACATTTTATTTTAAACTCAAAGAAACTGTCGCATGCTGTATTGACATGGAATTTACTGATTTTTTTTTTTTAGAAAACTGAAATATGACCAGTCTGCAAACTAATATCGGGGATTTGAGAGATCTACTTTCTACTTTCACAGAAAGTGTGGTTTGATGGGGTTGGAAAAATTTTTTGGAATACGACAAGAAATACTTTTGAGGGAAGAGACTCTACAATTACATGTTCAGTGTGTGGCTTCATTTGTTGGGTTCCTTCATTTTGCCATGTTACTAAACCACAGCGGTCTGACTAACCAATCGCTTTTGTTTATATTTTCCCCTCTCATTTCTCCTTGAATGTCTTGCCTGATTGGGAACAACTTCACGTGGTGTGACCTTTGACCTTTTGCACCTAACATTAGCATGATGTGAGTTTTCCAATCATCTGTTTTGGAGCGTTTCAGTTCTACAAAATGAATCATTGGATAACTTGGTTGAATTAGTTTCCTTGACATACTCTCCAATTTGGTTGGATGTTAAGATGGGTGTTGATCGCATTGATAAGAATTTGTACGCTTTCTCTGTGAATTGTTTATAAATAAATTCCAAAGAAGACTCATTTTGTGGGAGCTGCACTTGCATTAACCATTTGTCCATAACATTTTCTTGGTCAAGTTTTTATATTTCATCAAGATCTTTCATAGTGATACTTACAATGCAAAAAAATGAGTCCAACTTAAGTTTCCACTCCTCTTTAGAGTCTGCAATTTTAGTAGAAGTCTATCATTTTTCACCTTTTTCCACTGCTAGAGGTCAAATGATTCACTTACAAGCTTCCAACTGGTTCTCCAAAAATCATCTGTGCTCATTTCAGAAAGTTTTAAACATACAAAATCCATGTAGAAAGACATTTATTGCTCTGAGAAATTAGCTTACCATTAGCATACCATTACCTTGAGAACGTCATGAGGCAAACTGGTTTGTACTAGTGGTTTGTTTTTGGTTGGAGCACAAACATTTGAGCAGTATTTGCGGCAAGATTGCTTCAAGAATTCATCATGCCTCAAAGCTGAGCATGTCAATACCAGTATGTAAGCTTATGTTTATAACTTTTAAGATTAATTTTAGAATCAGCTAGAATTTGTATTTACTCATCATTTTGCTTTCTTCTCCATGTTTATCAGGGTCCAAGACATCAATCTTCAGTAAGTTTGCCACGGGGACTTCCCCCACAATCACATCGATAGTGATAAAATATCACTAAGTGAAAAATATTGGAAAAGTGTTATTTAACCACAAATCGAAAAATTTTACTTTTAGGAACTTCTGCTTCCCAATGTATTTTGTATTCCCAAGCAGTTATTTTTTTCAAAAGGTCGTTAAATTATGCTCACAAAACTTTGTTACATTCCAAACCCTTTCATCCCTTCTGTTACTAAAATTTGTGAACTGAAACAGTGCAGTTTTTTTCACAGCCGATTTTTGCGCAATATTTACTACTTTTTAACGAAAATGTTCTTGCTTTTTCTGCAGAGGGACTCAGATGAACTAATTGCAAAATTGAAGGACATGGATAAACGCTACGCCCACGAGAAACAGACACGAGAAAATTTTGAGCACAAGTACAGACAAGCCAGTGCTAAACTACATGCGGCGTATCAAGACCTTCAGAGAGAGGTAAGATAACGGCCTTGCTTGGCTAACCCAAGAAGGAATAATCGTCTCTTTTGAAAATAATTGTATTAGCTTCTCTTCTGAAGAAAAGGATGTGGGGTTGGGTTAGACTTGAATTTGAATCGATCACAAGTCCCTGCTAGTCCTTGTAAGTCCATCACATTCATCACAAGTCATTCAGTCTTGAGCAAATTCACAAGCTTTTAAAATGAGTTGTGACAGAAGCATTCTTTTGTCATTGTTTGCCCTGTCACTTGACTGGCCTTGTGAAGGGACTTGCGAATGGACTTGTGAAAGGACTTGGGATGCACTCGAAGACAACACTGAACTCTATAGTTTGTTCATGTTTTTCTCCACACAGGAGGATGAAAGGAGACACCATGAAGGCAAACAAGAGAGGATGATCGCTGAACTGAAGCATAACAACAAAGAGGTTAGTTTGATTCTACGAATCATGGTTAACACTGCTGAACTTGTCACAGTGAAACAACATTCAGCAGTACCAACTTGTCAGTCTTGAAAGGACAGAAGTTGGTTCACAGCTAATTCCTGCTTTGTTTTATAAAGCAATAAATGTAAATCTGGTTCTGACTATTCAGAATGGTTAACCAGTTAACATTAAAATTTTTACCCAAAGAAGCTGCTGCAAGCAGGGTTTTCCTTGCAAATTCTTCAACTGTGCAATTGTTCTTTGACCCAACAAGCACGCCGCATTAATATGTCAATGCGGAAATGAAAGAAAAATTCTTCAACGAGTGTATACGTCTGTGTATGTGTGTTTACATGTCATCTGACATCAAGTGGTTAATTGAGTGCTACACCTCAAGGGTAGGGGCAAGGGTAGTGTGATGCAAATCGCTACATGCCTTGGAAAGCCTTGAGCCTTTGAAAAAAAGTTACTTAGAAACACTGTCAGTAAGGTCTTAGCAGGGAACTTGATTTTTTCCTCAGATGAAGAGAAAGCTGGATCATGAGGCAGATGTGCGACGCCAGGTGGAGTCCCAGGTCAAGGTTATCCCTCAGCTGGAGGCGAAGATCCGAGAGATGAAATCCTACCAAGACAAGGCATCTATGCAGGACAGGCACATAGATAACTTGAAAAAACAGCTGCATGATGAAAGTGAAGCCTCGTCAAAATTCAAGAAATCATTGACAGATCACCAAAAGGTAAGACAATTTTGGGTCTAACAACCAGAAAAAACTCTCGAAAGAGCAACATCTTCCTTGAGTACCCAGGTGCACCTCCCTCATGAGTTGAAAAGCTATGCGACCGTAATCTGTGCATTTCATAGTCGTTTGTAAACCAGCGAAGTGCACTTCTCACCAAAGGAGCCTGCGTTGCTAGGAAAATTGTGCCCTCTCTTGGTCTCGCTTGGGACCCATAGACAACTTTCCACACTACAGTAGGGTTATATCAGTCTCGCAAATTGTAAGAAAATAGTGTGAATTTTTCATGTTGAATGATTTTAATCTTGCAGTTTTCAAATCAAAATAGTAAATGCATGTTGAGTCCAGCCTGTTAAGTTGCAGTTCCTGTGTCCTTGGGCAAGATACTTGCCCACAAATTGCTTTTTTGTCCATGTTTCTCTCCAGTACCGTAGTAAATTCCTCAGACACTTGATATGTTTCGATTATTTTTAGTTACTTTTACTGAAAAGGACGCATCTTGTGTACGCGTACACTCCTGGGAGGTTAGATCGTCTGCCAAATGTTGCGTAGGCTAGATGAGCAGGTGGATAATAATCCGTACAGTCACTGACATAAGTGGTTGACAAAGGCTGTTAACAAATATTATGTTTCGAAAAGTGCACGTGTATGTTAAATGAGAATTGGAATACCTCCGTCTTGAATGCTGTATTTACATTGACCCAGAATGATCTCTTGATGCCACTCACCCTTTGACATCACATCACATAGCATTATAGACTATGCCCCACCCTGCAGTCCAAACCATAGAGCGGGGATAGTTAACTAAACGATCAGGACACGTAGCATCCTTGGCTTGGCCTTGGGTGCTGTAAGTGTCACAGGTGCTAAAACATTACCCACATCGGTCAGTCAATTATTCTGAAATGTTACATCGTTACAGAATTACTCCTTACTGGAGCAGGAAGTTCGCGACACCAAAGACAAATACAACCAGATCCTTGAGACAAAGCAGACCTTGGACCATGAGATCATCTCCTTACAGAACCAGCTAGAGGAGGAAAGAGAGAGGCGTGTCCAAATGGAGGAATTGAAGGCGGATGTGGAATGTATGACAATAACTGCCTCAGAACGACTGATTATTAAATTTATATTCACTTCTGGGTGGTCCATTCATTGAAATTTTGTGATATACTGGTCCTAACACACATGTACATTCAGTTTTCGAAGAATTCAATGGAGTGAACTCTTGTTGTAACAGGTCGCGTAACCAACCTAACGACTGACAATTTCCGGTTGAAAGAAGAGGAGAGTAGGGCCATTGCTGAGCAGCAGAGACAACAACAGCAGATCATCATGCTGGAAAAGGTACCTGACCAATCAGACAGATACATAGAGACAAACAAACAGATGAGCACTCATTAATTTACACATGATGTTGCAAATAGAAAAGAACTGTTTACCTTCAGAGTCGTATCCCTTTTGCCTTAGTTAATTGCTAAGTGAGTTTTCTCCTTTAAGAATTCCAAAACACGTTCATAGATAGTAACCAGGCTTTAAGCCTGGCAGTTTCTTTTGCCCTCATCTCATTTCTTCTTCCAAGCTTAAAGCTGTTTCTCGAGTGAGATTTGTCACGATTTTTCCTGATTTCAGGAAGTTTTCATTGAGAATGTTCCGATTTCAGGATGTCTCAAACAATCCCTTTCAAAATCTGGAATAGCCTGAGTTTACCATTGATGTGTTTTTTTTAAGCATAAAAGTTGATACAGAAAATAACACGGGGTGCCCTATTGACAAACAAATATATAGCATAGATCCTATACCACTGTGGGGTCCGTCAAACTCTCTGGTGATTAGTTCATGGATATTCTGTTGTCCTTGAGTCTCTCCCCTGTTGTATCCTGGCTTCTTTTTATGGCAAGGCTGACCTTTGCTCTTTGACCCATAGATGAAAGCAAGCCTGGAGTTTGACCTTAAGTCATTGAAGCGGAAAGATGAGCAGCGTGAGCTGGAATACAGGGCCCGAAAAAGTGTGATTGATGAGGTTAATCGCACCTCCAAAACCCAAGAGGAGGCCAACATGCAACTCATTGAAGGTGGAGCATTAAAACTTTATTTTTTACCCTTACGCAGGAAGAAATGTAGAACTCCAACTATTTCCAAACTTCTCTCAGTGACGGGCCACATTGCTTGTAACCTTTCAGGGGTTGTTGATGAGATTTGAAACTCTTAGTTACAGCATCTTTCATTTATTGAGTTTGATATTCAAACCTGATCAGTGAGTACTCTCCCTGAGTACTCTCCCAGACTCCATAGTACTCCAACCCCTGTTTCCTCCTAGAACTTGACTCTTGACCTTTGTCATATTGTTTCTGGACCTTTACCCCTTTCTCTCGTCTTTTCACAGACCTCAAGAAGCAGATGAAGGAGGAGAAGGAAGCGAGGCATCAGTTGAATGAAAGCTGGCAGGATGCAATGAAACAAAAGTCACTGGTGGAATTTGACCTGAAGCAGGTCCAGCAACAGCTACAGCAGATGGAGGAGCAGAGGAAGGCAGATGTTGCCAAGGTGAGGAAGCTTGTTGGGGAAACGTTGCCAACAGATCAGGCTCGTTTGCCAGGGTGAGGAGGATAGTTGGGGAAACCTTGCCAACAGATCAAGCTCGTTTGCCAGGGGGAGGAGGCTAGTTGGGGAAACGTTGCCAACAGATCAGGCTCGTTTGCCAGGGTGAGGAGGATAGTTGGGGAAACCTTGCCAACAGATCAGGCTCGTTTGCCAGGGTGAGGAGGCTAGTTGGGGAAACCTTGCCAACAGATCTGGCTCGTTTACCAAGGTGAGGAGGCTAGTTGGGGAAACCTTGCCAACAGATCTGGCTCGTTTGCCAGGGTGAGGAGGC